ATATATTTTCGAGCCTCGTAAATTAATGTGGCATATCCAGGTGCAAGAACGCTCATTTTCATAAAGTTGTTCCACTTAGTGAGCGGGCTGCTTTGATCAGTATCATTCCAAAGGTTTCTTCGGGAAGAATCAAGAGCAAAATGTCCGTTGACATGGACAGGTAAACCTGTGTAAACAGGAAGTGGCAGGAAACAATAGGCAACATGTTGGGGTTTGTATTCAGAACTTGAACGTTGTGGGGAAACTAGGGCAGCAATTCCACCGCGTGGAAAGAGACCGAACTGATGCCCATCAGGTATGGAGTCTTTTGACGCTTGGGATGATGTTCCACAACACTGATGAACGAGCCACGTTTCCACAGCTTTATCGGAATTCGAAATGGTCAATGGGTAAGTAACATTATGCCATGCAACATCACGAGTGGGAAGATGTTTGCTTCCTTTCACAATACGGGATAGCTCACGGCATTTTTCATCACTTTCTTTACTTAAATCAGCAACTACACTGTACTCTTCTTTCAGTTGACCATCCTTATCAACTTCAGATAATGAAATTTTCCTCACGTGATTAAGAAAAAGCAACATCTTCTTTGATTCGTCTTTGAACTTGCTAAGAAGCTCATTCATTTTGTAGTTTGCTACGAATATACCAGATATGAGGGACTCGCGAGATCTTTCCATCGTTCGTAAAGGAAGACGAAACATTGTAGCTCCTTTCAGGTTGAAATACTCTCCAAGGTAGCCAAGGAAAACATCTTTGAAATCCTCTTTAAATTCTTCGTTAATTGGTTGAAACTGTTCACCAGGGGAATCAGGTATCGCTTCTGGGGCATATCGGCAGTGAGGGTCGAGGAAACATAAAGTATCTTCGTTGGACAGAAAACTCGGGCAATCTGTTAAATGGTATACTGCGTTGAATCCAATTCCATACTGACCTGTCTTCTCCGGATCATCAGTTTTGCTACCAATACCGAGTTTCTGTATTCCTTCAAGATCCTCTGGCGTGAATGGCTTGTTATTGTAAACGCAAAGGGCAGGTCCTTGAACTTCTTCAGCGTGATTCTGAATAACCTTTTCGTGCGGAAGCGTTCTTGTGTCGTAAATAAAGTGAATTTCGGTTGCTCCAGCATCATCAGCGTTTTGAACAAGTTCTTTCAAGATCCCTGAATCACAGGGGTATGACTTGAGAATGTTCTTTAACCTGTCAGTGAGCTTTTCGTGTTGACCAAATGGAATTCCTATTGTCCTTGAGTATTTATTTAGTCGGCGATTTTGTAGCGACTTTGCTCCCAATTCTAGTGCCAGTTGAGGAGGAATGTCCCGATGCACGTAACGGGCATCACCACGATCTTTGAGCCAAAACGTGAGATTTATGGTAAGCTCTCCACTCATACACAACACGTTGTTGCAATCTGGTAAGGGAATATGACCAACTTGGGACGCTTCAATTTCAGCATCCTTCAAAGCCGTTGCAAAACACACAGTGAGTTTGATTTCATCATTATTCAATGGGCGACCTGTCTTCGTCTCCTTAAGAGATTTTAGTGCGTCGATAAAATCCACGTGTGAAAATGTTTGCTTGACACCTGCCATGTTAAAAAGTCTGCTGTAGTTATCACGGTATTCAAACGGCAAGCTGTAAAGATAGGGTGCACCATTGCCGCCACTCCAGTAGTAAGCAACTTTTCTTGTTGGTATGAAATTGCCGTGGATAAATACCCAAGGTCTTTGGCTTAATTCTTTTAACAGCTGTTCTCCTTCTGACATGCCTTGATTCTGATTGTGCACACTCATTCTCTGACTTTCGTGTCCGCGGTGGTACGCTTTCGTAACCAAATTATCAAAGAACTTATAAACTCTCTTACAAACCGCTTCTAGCGATTTTCGTTTCCCAGAACTGACATTGTCAACGCTAATCGCTGCATCAAGTTGTCGAATAACTTGCTGTACTGTGGGATGACGGTTAGAAAATCCCAACAAATCTTTAACTTGATGCCCAAGTTTACCACATCCAGTTTCTTCCGAATCGTCTACGATTACACAGCTTGAACCAACTAGATTTTTTTCACTTGAAAGGAAAACGTCGTTGGGTGCAAATAATTGGGTTTTTTTGAATTTTGATCCTTCCCACTGTAGTTCATAACCATCAGGACGTGTTGGAATAAAAGGTAAAAACTCTATACTTCGGAGATCCGATATGCTGCCGGGATCTGGTTCTGAGAGTTTTCCGATGTTTTCCTTAAGATATTTGATCAGATTTCTCGTTCTTTCCAAAGCTTTGTAGCCACTGGTTGCCGCAACAATCTTCACAGACCTCGCTCGATCACATATTTCAGACCAGGAAATTCGCTCGTTAACCATTCCTAGCTGTTCCAAAGCGTAAATACGGTTATTTTTCAGAAAACAGTCACCAACAGGAAAGCGATAATCTTCAGATGAAAAAAGACATGCCGCAGGTCCTTTTGGATTGATAAGTCTAGATGGCTTAGTTAGGTGGTTACCATCTTGTGAGCACGTTACACATGGGTAGTCATTCATCAGTGTTGCAAACTCAATTCGTCCACTCAGTATGCAATCCAAAATGTAGCAAATGATTCGATCTCGAACATTACTGGAAATAGTGTGAATATTTGGCAAAAACAAGTTCATAAGAAAAGTTTTCAAGTCTAATGTGTTCCGAAGTACAGCTTTCTTTTGTCCGGCTTTAATCATTGAAGACAAAATCTGAGGTGGAATATCAAATACGTTGTTGTTCAATTTTTTTAAAGCAACACGAACTTCTGGGATATTTCGCAGCTCATCATCTAATATGTAACCTTCGTTTATTGATAGCCATTTACCATCACTGTAGAAAAGAGGCAAGGCATTTGACACTATGCTCTTATACACACTTTCGACCAAACTTCCCCAAGTGGCGGACTGAAGTTTGCCATAGACAGGCCATAACGCACAGAAAGCATAATCTTGTGTTTGAAGGGTTTTCAGGTCGTTTAACAGCTGCAGGTAAGCACTACACAAAGCATCTTTAAGTAAAGACTCATTCCATCGAACTTCAATTTCCTGTTGTTGGTGTGAGGTTGTTCGTTCCCAGATTCCTCGGCGATTTGATGTGACTGCAAAGTAACCGTTAACATGAATCGGCAATCCTGTCGAGATGGACAACGGCAGAAAGCAGAATGCTTCTCCATTGACTGCGTTAACCTTCACACATGACTTCGATGTGGATCCATTACTTGATACAGAATTGAGACGCGCTGCAGCTCCTCCACATGGCAAAAGACCACGAGAACGACCTTCGCCAGATGCTAATGAAACTGAGGTACCTGTTCCTCCACAAGATGCAATGAGCCAGGTTTCACGAGTTTCTGACTTGAACTGATTGCACATAAGGTTGGATTGCGTCTCTTTCGTAATGATCTCAAAAAGCTCGCATCGGGAAGGAGTCACCAACTGGGTGATGGAGGCTGCCAACTTGCGTCGCCACCAGCTGGAACACTCTTCAATAAACGGATGCTTAGAAGAGGAAGGGTCACTGGATCTTTTAATCTTTGGTGACTGTTTCGAAATAGATAACAGCAACCTCATATCGCTTGGATCAGAACCATTCTCAATCTCGTATAATTCTACTTGCGTAACATGTTGGGTAAAAAGTAATAGAAGCGATGAGCATTCTTTAAAACTACTGATAATTTGTTTCACTTTCTCTTTGTTGTGAACACTCTGACAAATATCACTCTTCTTAGCTTCACCAGATGTACGGAATGGAAATCGAAATAAGGTTCCATCAAAGTTAAAATTCGTTGCACCTGTATTCTGTGTGTTACAACCAAATACACCGTGGTACGGTTGAAACTGATCTTCAAAGACCGAAAGAGGACGTAGATTAGAAGCAAGATTGATACGAATACCAGGGCGTGATTTGTCCTGGATGTGGTTCTCAATGTGATTGACATTAGGGTCAAAGAGCACGAAATATTTACGGCTGACAAAACTTGGAACATCAGTTAAATGATAAACTGCGTTAAAACCAAGTCCAAAGCGACCGATCTTTCCGACTTCATCCACTTTAGTAGCACCAGCTAATTTGTTAATATTTTGAAAGTCGTGCTCCGAAAACTCTTCGTTGTTGTATGCCCAAAGTGCCGGTCCCTGACTTGCTGCCATATCTGGGGACAGAAGCTTTTCTGTTGGACCATTTCTCCAATCTACAAGAAAACGAACTACACTAGCACGGGCGTCGTCAGCATTCTGGATTAATTCTTTGAAAATACCTCCCTCTGTGTATTCTCGCAGGACGGTCTTTATTCGATTGGTTATTGATTCGTACGGTCCAGTCTGTTCAAAGGCAAAACCCAGAGTTTCTGCAGACAGAAGGCAAGTGCTTAACGCCGGAACACCAAGGAGCCTTGCCACTTCAGTGGAGACGGAATCATGTATAACTTGGTAATCACCAGGGATATCGAATTCAGATCCACCTTTCCGCAACCATTCTCTATCACAATAGGTACATTTCTTGCAAGCTGCTAAAACCAGAACATTACTCTGACTCTGTACAGGAACAAACACCTTTTCTTGCAGATGTTCTGGCAAAATCCTTCCATCTTTAACTACCCACTGTAAAATAGCACGACAAATTGTCAAATCTTGAGTAACTTCGGTTGAAGTATGTTGCGTGGTGTTGGCGTGTTTCTTCCGAATGCTGTCTAAAACTCCCAGAATGTCCTCATCTGAAAACGTTCTGCAGACACCATGTTGTAAAAAGAACTTGATCAATGTTTGGTTTGAACGAAATTCTTTTGCAAGAAGAAATAGTTGAGGACGGAGATCAATTGCGAAATCTGTTGTCAGAGCCACGTTTCTGGGAGGACAAAATCCATTTCCATGCCATATCCAGTCTGTGAGAGATGCCCTTGCAACAGCACTAGATATATCGCGAGGCTGGAATTTGGAAAGATAGCAATATATTTGAACAAGCATTTCCTGAAATTTAGCCACTTCAATGCCAGGGAGATATCCGTTTTTCTGAGCTTTCCAACTTGTTATAGCAGTTTGTAGTTGCTTGATGACGTGAGGTAATGGCGGATCACGCATGAAGCCAAATACCTGTTGAAGCTCGCTGTTTATATAGATAGAAAAAGTGGGCATTGAAGAACCGATGAGTTGAGCTTTCGATAAACTACGGACTTCAGACGGTAGTAACAATGATGGCGTGTTATACCATTGTACGAAATTTGGATAATTTGGAGGTGGTTTCGTTGCACAAGGAATCCACCTTAGCCTAATTAGGTCTTCTTTCAAAGTGGAATTACTAGAGTAGTGGTTCAAGTATGCTGGATTATCGTTTAGTATTGTAAGCAACGCATTGACTTTCTTGGTGATTAGTGGAGACGATTGAGCAGAAGATGCAATGATTTTAGCAAATTTGAGGAGGTCACTAGCCGTAAGTGTTTCTTTCGTCTTAAGACCAAGATATTTAAGCTTTGTAATTAAGTCAGGAGTAGCGTAAATTCCAGTTGGAAATACATCTTTCTCACCGTTCAAAACATCATGAAGTATGGCATCATTTGGATCGTACAGTTCAGTTGGTACTTTTCTTGCACCGCTCTGCGTGGAAACAAAAGGAAGATTTTTCATCTCGTTAACAAATCTTTGACTTTGAGATTGTAATATTGCAATTCGCTCGAGGATCCACTGCATAAGTATGGTAATCTGTTGATTATTGTATCGATTGGCTGAAATATCGGGAAAAACGTATTGCATTAACATATCAGCAAAAGAGAGAAATTGGATGTTAAGCAGAACCAAGAGTTTCTGAACGTAGGTATCAGTGGACAAAATAATTACACGATTTCTTGATAACATGAAATTTGGTGGAAGGATAAGATTTGAAGACACAGCTTTGAGTTGGTGAGCAGCAGTGACGGTACCATGAAGCGTCTCAAATAACGGAAGTTGCAGCAATAAATCTCTCTGAGAACTAGAGATTGGGTTGGGTAAACCTGAGAAGAATTCATGGAATACTGAACGGTTTGCTGACGTAAAGATCTTTGCTGCTTGTTGGTTTACAACTGTCATGGAAATTCGACTTAGCACGCATAACACACCAGACGGAGTTGGCGGGGCAACGTAGGTGTTAATATCTTTGTGGGAACAAATGTAGCTTGGCAGACCTGTGAGGAAAGTGCAATCACAGGCTGAAAGTAGATCACGCACTTGCGCAGGAAGATTAGTATACGCGCCTACAAAACCAAAAATGAACTTGGAATTTCTCGACAAAATACCGAGTTGGTTACCGATTGGTAAAAGGGGGATGCCTTCAAAATGCGCTAATGAGGTGGGGAATGATGCGTTAATCCAAGTCCATGTTGCTTCCAGCCAACTTTGAGGTGGATGGTCAGACGTTCCAGGCTGCCACAATACTTTATCACTGTTACCATTTAACCATTTGGGTGGCAAACTAGCGCGAATGTTCTCAATGACAATCTGACTCGTCAATCGAACCAATTGAGTTGAATGTATTGTATTGTTCTTGGTTGCTGCCATACCATAAAGTTTCCTTTTGACATCTTCTTGAAGGCTTTCGTCAAGAAACCGACCAGACATATTGGGGAGCAACTTTGCCGTGCAGTTTCCACTTGACACAAACACTGACGCTTTTGGATTTGATAAATGCTTGTGGTTGCAAAACGTGATAAAATTCGTGTTAGCTAAAGGCAAGAGAGGAATGCCTGCAAGGTCTGTCGTATTGCCATCGCTCAGAACATAAGTGAGTAGATTTAGCTTCTGTTCACGTGATCTTATGGTAACACTAATTTGAGAGTCCTTCAAAACACTTCTAACGATAGCTGGCGAGATAACGTTCGGGGCGGAAAAGTAGTTATGTCGAATTATTTCCAGAACATGAGGAGGCAAATCTGTGATCACAGCATACCGTTGGTAAAGAACTTTCAGAATCACTTCGCGAGTTTCAGAACTTGTCCCAGACTGATGAAGAAGGTCAAGAATACCATTGCTTAAAGTAATCCAAGAATTGCCAGTGATCCTTAGAGCATAGAACACGGGTTGGTAGGACATTTGCTGCAACATGGGTTTCAAGATACGTTTCCAATGACCTTGGACATTTTGCAAGACTGGCATAGTTGAATATACAAGATGGCTTCTGTTGACCTCACTGAGACCAGTGTTGGGTTGATCCGTAACTAAAACGTTTATTATCTTGCAATAGACGGTGCTAGCAATTTCTGATAACAGTAACGTGTTCCATTCAGCCGTTTCGTTGTTTTGGCATTCCATGCCAGGCCATGTAAGACCACGCCTGTTGTCAGTCAAACCAAAGTAGCCATGGATATGAACAGGTAGACCAGTTAGGCAGTCAACATCCGGTGGCAAGGGCAAGAAACAGAATATTCTACCATCGGTGATTGATGTACATCCATCGTTGATAGGCACGGCTAGTCCGATCCAGGGGAGTAAACAAAGCTGCGTACGCAATTGGGTGATTCGTCTATTGTTCGAGCCAATTTGATTGACCACCAACCACTTCTTGCTATCCATTTGTTTGTTTGATGTTATATTGATGCCGATGATGAATTTGGATTCAACGACAGAAGCTGTCTCTACAGCTGCAGACATCAATTTCCCTCGTTCCATTATTACTTGGTTTCGTGTGTCGTTTGATACCTCCACTTTAAAAGTACAGTCGAGACGACCTTCGTTTGTACGTTTGAAAATACTAATGCTTTGCACGCTTTTAAGAAATAGAAGTATGATAGAGGCTTCTTGACGCAATGATTCAAATAAGTTGTTGATCATTGATTCGTTGTATACTGTTTTTGAAAGGTCTGATTCAGGCGTGATTCGTAATGGAAAACGAAACAATGTATTGTCATAAGATCTTGTGCTTGAGAGATCACAGCCAAATATACCATTAAATGGAGCAAACTGGTCAAATAATTGAGGTTGTAGTAAACCATGTTTAATATTAAACTGTTGACCAGACTCACCTCGGCCAAAGTAAATTTCATGTGGATCTAAGAAAGCAACATTTGTGCCACTCACAATACCTGGAAGGTCTACAGGAAGTAAAAGAAAGGAAATGTTCAGTTTCAGTATGGATGAACACAGCATAAATTTTAAATTTAGATTAACATACTTCCATTTATGTTGAATACAGGGTTCGTATTCATCGTATTTCTAAGAATGTTTTCACTCAGATTTGGTTTATTTTGATATATATTTTCACTCTAATTTTTTCTAATACTCGTTGAACAGTACAAACAAATATTACTAAAGTACGAAGTGTTGTCAAAAGCACATGTTTTTCCACGTGTGGACACGAAGCGCCCACGATTACGTCATTCAGAACATACGTACTTGAAATATAACAAGAATCGACAGTTTTTTCAGGAGGATAAAATTAGGGGGCTGACAAACGGGAGGGGGAAGACCTTGCCGAGGGGTGACGGGGCGTGCAGCGCCTCGCCGACGGCCAAACTGTTTCCCTACGTTACATAATTCTTACTTTTTCGACTATTTTAATACGGCGTGCGCTTCCCATTCATAATTTTCCCGACTTTTAAACAGAATTCCCCGATTTTTAAGTATAATCTGCCCGAATTAAAAATTATTTGGCTGGGGGCTGTAGTCCCCCCCCCCCCAACTCCCCCTCCTACGCCTATGGCTATAACTATCTCTAACCAGTAATGACACTGGCTAGAAAGATCGATATGCTATGCGCAAGAAAGTTTTAAACACAACGTTTAATGCTTTAATAGCATCTTACATATAAGTTTAAATTTCTAGGTTTTCTCAGGCCGCTTTGAAATTTTGAGGACTTTCAAGGAATTTCCAGGACTAATTAAACATCCTTTTCCAGGATTTCCAGGGGGCGTACAAACCCTGTTGTAAATAATAACGTAACTGGGGAACTAACACAATACAAGCTTTATTAAACATTAAGTAAATACATGCAGGCATTATTTTTCAAAAAATCTCAGTTTCCAAGTGACAAGTGCGTCTTCGGTCGTTCGGACGGGTTAGCCTTTACTTTGCCATTTTTGGCCAATTCGATGACGTTACATTGTCTGTTTGGGGGGGGGGGGG